GCCCCATCGTCTTCTCTCCTAGGCCCAAATATCCTCCTCAACACCCGATTCTCAAACACCTGCAATCTGTGTTCCTCCCTCTGAGTGAGAGACCATGTTTCGCACCCATACAAAACATCAGGCAAAATTATTTCTTTATATTCGCGTTCTTCAACACGAGTCAGAGAGCGTGCAGTAAGTGAAGCTGAAAAGGAGATTCTTCTTGCAAGTAAATTAAATGAGGCGAAAAGAGAATTTTATTTAAATAATAGTTTCTGCATGAGCTTGGGAAATTGGGGTCCGTCGAGCTCCAAAAAAAAAATCCAACTAATTTTCTCTGGAATTTTTTAGCTGTCCCTTTCCAGAAATAATTAGTCGTTCGATACCCCTGTTTAAAAAAACGGTCGTTAAGAAATTTATTCAGCGATTACTGGAATTTATATACAAAAAGGAACATCATTAGAGACACGATAATCAGATCACATTGGAAACAGTTTGTGTTGGAACAGGCTCAGTCTGGGCGTAGGTAAAAAATTTTAAGATAAAATTCTATCTCGGGTTTGAAGGGACAAAATTGGGCAGGGCGTGACAAAATTCTAAAATTTTAGCCCGTACAGACCTCTAGTTTGTCTCACATAACATACGAATTTGAGAAATAAAAACTGTATTTCAAAACTGTCCTTAATATTTCTGCACTCAGTTACTTTAATTTAAAATCCTTTTACCTCCCAGATTTACTGCGCAATATAAACGTGCTTTATTGTTGAACGACATTACTTCGTTAGTTACCAACTTGATAACCCAAATTTCTCAAGAGACTTAAAGTTTACAAGACTACAGAAGTAGACAAACACCTCAGGAGCTCTTCTGTCCTTAAGAGCCTACTTGTTATCCGTCTTCAGCAAAAATAGTAAAAAGTCAACACTTCACAACACTCATTTTCACAGTCTAAATCCTCAAATATAATCTTGATCTATAAAGGAGACCCCAGGATTACAAGACCAACGTTATAACCGCTAGATCACCGTGTGTTAAATCCACCAGATTGAAGGTAATTATTGAATTGACAAAGTCAGAAGGTGATATTAGAATAAACCATAATTATGACTGTAAATTATCTTCCTCAGTATCTCTTCTTTAGTCTTACAGAACTTAAGGAAGAAATAAGTTGATTTAAAAAAACTGTGGAAGAGATACTGAGGAAGATAATTTACAGTCATAATTATGGTTTATTCTAATATCACCTTCTGACTTTGTCAATTCAATAATTACCTTCAATCTGGTGGATTTAACA